GGTTCTGAGGCCTCACAGATAAACCAAACAGAGTCAACTTACGCTCATTAACCAACGGACTAATTGCAGGAGGCGGACTTCCTGGCCCTGGCAGCGGCGGCGGGGGACCGCGGTTTGGGGCCGTTCGACGTGTGCGTGGACAAGGGCACGTTGGACGCGGTGTCACTGAGCCCCGATGGGGCGACCGAGCGGCGGGCGGACTACGTGGAGGCTCTGCAGCGAGTGCTCGCGCCCGGTGGACTCTTCGTCATCACCTCGTGCAACTGGACGCGGCCCGAGCTGCTCTCGCACTTCTCCGACGGTGAGAATGTCGTCATAATACTCGACAGTGCTTCAAACTTAAACTAAACTTTGTTTTTTAAATCCTTTATATTAAGTTCACTTGCTTGCTTGCTTGCGCGCTTACGACCGTGCAAATCTTTCGGTCGTTTTTTAACCCACTTCCCGTGATCCAATCGAGCTGACATTTTGCACACAGACTCGTTGTGCGTGACAATTTATTTTCGTGAAAAAAAATTCCCAAAATTTTCCACTTTTTAGGAATTTTTTTTTCATATTTCATTTAAAATACCAATGTGATAAAAATGAAACTCTTACTCAAGAAAAACAGAAATGAATAATAAAATAAAACCGATGCCACGCATGTAAAGGATTTATAGTGAAAAACTTTGTTTTTACGGGTTATTTTTTTATTTTACCAGGTAAGGTCCGCTGAGCTATGCAGCTCTTGTTCAGAAGCGACCTGGCCACATTTGATAGCACAACGAAGTGGCTTATCATGTGGAAATGTATAGTAGTCAAATACTCTAAATGCATGTTTCTAAGTGGAGAGGGAAAAACCGGAGGACCCGGAGAAAAATCCACACGACCACGTGGTACTTCTCCCACATCTACGATTCACACGGTTGGCTACGTACAGTGCGAAAGAAGTTCAACATACCAGAGGTGTGAACTCGAGTCATGTGACTTGGACTCGAGTCAGACTCGAGTCATGAATTTGATGACTTCAGACTCGACTTGGACTTGCATAACAATGACTTTGTCCCACCTCTGAGATGTGGACTCGAGTCATGTGACTTGGACTCGAGTCAGACTCGAGTCATGAATTTGATGACTTCAGACTCGACTTGGACTTGCATAACAATGACTTTGTCCCACCTCTGCAACATACATACGTACACAATATCTCCCATCGAGGAGGTATTTGGGGGCTGCGTTTGAGAGTCGCTTGACATGAATCTCCCACGATTGAGTTTCCATGTTTTTTTTACCATTTATTTTATAGCATCCTTACATAATATATAATCTGTAGTCGATGAGGTGTTCTTTTGGCGTTTGTTTTTGGGGTCTGTAATATGCTCCTATTTGTAGAGTCTGTTTGGAGTTTTTTATTTAGGATCTGAGTTTGGGATCTGTTTTCATTGATCTGCATTGGAAAATTGTGTTTGGGATTAATGTTTAGGTTCCTTTTTCTGGTCGATATTTAGGATCTATATTGTCAATTTTGGATGGATCCAATATATACATGGAGTGTGCAGTATGGAGTATGTTTAAGATCTCTAAGTGGGGTTTATTTGTCTGTAATGAATGGAATTGTGTGCTTCAGGTTGGTGTCAGAGATCTGCATTTGAGGTCTGTATTTGGATGAAGTCTTGAAGGTCAGAGCTCTATGTTTATGATCGGAGTTTGAGCTCTGTGCGTGTTGTCGCCCTGGTTCAGGGTTCGAGCTGGAAGAGCAGATTCCGACCCCGACCTTCACCTTTGGGGGCAGCACAGGGAACAGCATCACCTCCCTGGTTTTCAGAAGACGGGGCTGACAGCGCCTAAGCATCTCACCGTGCCAATTGAAGCAAAGCACCAGCATATACTATTCATGAAAAAAACATCACCAGCTTTTATATATTTTTTACTTACAAATGAAATATGAACTTCACTATTTCTTCAGGTATAAATGTAAGCAAGGCTTGTGTACATACTGGCTGGCCAGGTTTCACTGTGGTTAGCGCACATCGCTTGGAAGCTTACAAGTTCAATTCCTTGTCAATAGCTAACTCGGCTCATCATACCTCCAGGTTCTATGAATGTAATAAAAATGTTTGGGATATTAATAGTGGTTATTCAATGGATTTACTGGTCTGACATGGGAATGTGGAAATCCACCACCAGCAAAAGCCAGCCAATTGAGATGAGGTCTGCCCCATCGCTCATTTGAGCAGGGAGACAGATTGTAACTTTAACTGCACGAGTCTCTATCCCCTCCCTCCCCTCAGTGTGAGTGTTCTGCAGGGTTTGTTGCTGGGTCCCTTACTCTTCTCTCTATATTTCCCCCTTGAATCTATTCTCATCTTTCTGCTTTCCTCACCATTTCAATCTTTCATAAACTTAAACAAACTTTTTGACATGTTTCACTTTTGAATGTGAATTATATTTTCCATAAATAGTAGTGGTGATTATGTTTGTGAAAAGTATGATGATGTATTTTGTCATTGTGAAGTGTTTGTAATTGAACAGTTTGTATATGGCTCGGTTTCACTATGTTATTACATTGTTAATAAAAGTGAGAACCTGAGTTAAAGTGTTGCAGCATTTGCAGTGTAGTATAACGTTTGAGATGACATCTTAGTTATTGTTCGCAAATCAGTCAGGCTGACCGTATCACAATAATTTTGTTGGCTTTCGCACTGTATGCAATATCATTTCCCAAAATTAATTTAAAAATATATTTTGAGACAAGGCCCATTGAGCTAAACAGCAGTTTTTTTCAAGGGCGACCCGCTGATTAAAGTGGTATTACAAGGGGTGATAGCATACAGAAAATATTAAAAGAGGAAATATAAATTACAAAGGCATTAAAAAAATAAAATGACAATTCAGGAGGAAGGCCTGCAAATGCAGAAACTTAACAAACAGCAACAAAAGTGTAGAGCATTTCAATAAACGTGCAGTGACAAGTAATTGAATATGTGATTCAATATTTCAGTGTTTCAATTAGGAATTACATCCGAATTCGTGGCACCAATGGTCTTGAAGCAATAATTTTAAGCCATGTAGAGACGGGAGAAATACAGTTTTCAGTGTATTGACCATTCCAAAATGTATGTGTGACCATTGAGAAGGCTCTGGAACCCTGCATTCTAAACCAGGGAATTTGCATGCATTCAATGACTCATCATTCCTTTAATCAATTCTCATTATTGCCTCATTCAATGACATTCCTGCGGAGGGAGCTGGTAGGAATGTTGGGTTGGCGGCGTGGTGTATTCTGCAAATATGCCCGACTGTGAGGACGGGCACAAGCCGGCGTGAGTAGGTGAAACGTTGAGTTTTATAAGGGCACCACGGGTGACCAGCCCCTACCTGCACGACGGACGGACACAATAATCCCCTGTGGGCTGGTGTAACCAGGAGCTTCCAGAAGGCCCGGTCGTTGCAAGGGATGCCCTTACCATGGATACCGTTACCGTGGATACCGTTACCTAGGATACCGTTACCATGGATACCGTTTCTCGGGACACCGCTGATGGGGACGCCTGTTGCTAGGCTGGGCGGTTGGTCCTCGCGGCCAGCAGAGAAACATTTGATTTCATATTGCACACAGCGGGGTTTTGAATTCTGTAGTCCGCATAAGTGCGTTCCTTTTTCGCTCATTACTCGGCAACTCATGGTCTCGTAGATTAAAAAAAGGTTGCACAGACGACGAGCATTCATATGATGTAATAAAAATGTGGATTTGTAGAACGTTTTAAAAAGTTGGTGATCGGGATTTTGCCAGTGCAGCTCCAACACAATGTAATTGTTGCCTCTGATAAGACAAGCATAATATTTAGAGCTACAGTATTTAAATCTGCCCTGAAAACTCACAGCTCTAAAATGGCTTTCCCCCCCCCATAATTTTGGTCGTTTACGCTGCTGGCTCTGTCTTATTACCCAGCTTTCAATTTTCGGCGCATTGGGATCCTTGGATAAAATGCGCCTTACAAATGTAAATTAGAATTATAGATATATTCAATAGGCGAGATTTTTTATGTCATGTCCCTTCGTCGCACATGCTTTTTGGTGTCTCTTCCCCAATAGTGATTGCCAGTGTAACGATTAATATGCCAATTTAACAAAAACTGGTAATTAAAAAAGCGAATGTGAAATGTAGTTTGCATCAACGCGACATGGTATTAAGTGGCCTCTGTGCTATGGAGAATGGTCCAAAACGTTGGCTATTCGTTTTCTGATCTCTTTAACGAATGTTGGTTTATTTTAAAATTACTTTAGTTGTACTTTTACGTGTAACTATGTACAGGAGCTAAATAAACATTTCTTTAAAATATATATAAAGTTTTAGATAATTAAATGGGGGTCACAAACACGTGGATAGCGCCTGTACTGTAGTTTACCACGCGGCCCCCAAATCTTGGGTTTGCATCGCCACAAAACCCAGCATCAGTGTAAAAGTAAAAATCTGGCTGTCGCCTGATGAGGCTAGTTGTAATTACTGGTGAAACGTCGTACTCAATGTTGTGGCTTGGCTCTCTCCACCATACCGGTGTGCTGTACTAGTGACGAATTGTCACGATCTGTTTAAGTGACAAATCTTACTAATTGGCTGTCGGGTGGTGGCGGATTTAACGACACGCTTACATATTTACGCGATCTAACCCCCCCCCCCCCAAAAAAAAAAAATCTGTATCCATGGAAGATATTTGTTGCGAAAGCCTACGCGTTAAACTAAAAGTTACACCTGATGAAAGAAGCTTGTTGCCTCCGAAACGTCGTGAATTTTAATTTAATTAATATCAGGTATTTCAGAAAAAATATTTATTTTTACCTACGTGACTTTACCGAAAAAAACCTAAGAGTATGAATCATTACAGTCACGAAAGCTTCAAATCTAGAATTAAAGTTAAAAAGTCACCGTGACGCACGTGTTTGCAAAGAAACCTAAGAATCGCGCACGTGTCGACCCCCCGCCCCCACCGGGTGACGTCACTTCCGTCCGCAAACAGCTGTTCGACCACTGGAATGAGAGTGGCAGGACGCTGCGTTTGTGTGTGGGGGGCATTGAGCAGGAGGCAGAGACACACACACACAGAAGAGGGGAGGGGGGGGCGTTAGCAACCTCGCTGCTAACTCTTCACAAGCACCACCAGTAAGCTATAAACATGCGCCGTCACCGCTAACTTACACACTCGAACGACCACTCCGCCTGGTGTGTGTGTGGGGGCACGGCGTTGCCGCTCTGCTGCTACTGCTGCTGCTTCGCTTGCTGCCGGAGTTTTGTCAAGGTAATGTGCGCTGGGCTGTGTCGCCTAGGCAGTGTGTGTGGGTTTGGTGGTGAAGATGATCGTGGCGATGGTGCTGATGTGATGGGTGTGATGCTGGTGGGAATAGTGATGGGGGTGATTATGGAGATGTCGGTGCCACAGCACTTGCCCCAACAGTCTGTTGAGGGTATCTTTGTCTTGGTGATGCTATTGGGAACCTGGCGGCCCGAGTTCGATTGCCGCTCATGGACAACACCCAGCGACGATTATCTGAGCCGGTCCTGGGCCTCCTCACCTAGGTCGACTCAGCCTCAAATTAGTTAGCTGGTGCGGTGTGTGGTAAACATCGCTACTGGGGGGTGCTGGCCACCCCCCACCCCCTCGTGTGCCGTGCCGACCGGCCTTAATAGGTGCTCGCTAACAGCACTTGCCCCAACAGTCTGTTAACGCTGGTGTTGGTGATACGTGTGACGGTGCTGATGATGGGAGTGATGCTTGCGGGCATCAAGACGATTGTGACGATGTAGTTGGTGGTGGTGATGAGAATGATTTATTTGACATGAATATGTTGGTGGTGGTGGGGGGTTATGACGTTAGAGCTGATGGTACTGGTGATAGTTGTATTGGTGGTGCAGCAATCATGATGTTGATGGTGGTAATTGCCAGAATTATGATGATGACATTGACGATGGTGGTAATTATAATTGCGATACAGGTTCAGTAACGATTGTGGTGGTGGTGATGAGGTGCTTGGTGTTGTTGACGATGGTCGTGGTTATTGGGGCGCCATGGTGGCTAGGAGATGTTAGCTGCCTCGCCTGGTGTGCAGGAGGTCGTGGGGTCGATCCCGACCCTGACGCCTGCTGCTGCTGCTGTATATTTGGAGTTTGCGTGTCCCTCTCCCAGTGGTTGCGTGGATTTTTTTCTCTGAGTCCCCCCGGTGTTTCCCTCCACGTTTAGAAACACACGTTGTGAGAGTATTTGCCTGCTATAATTGTCTACATGATGAGCCACTTCGTTGAGCTGTCATTTGTGGGCAGGTCTCTTCTGAACAAGTGCTATATGAATTTTGATTTAAAGCTTTCGTTACTGCAGGGATTCATATTCTTGGTTCTTTCGGTAAAGTCGCGTAGAAGGGAAATAATAAAACAATAAAAATATAAAACAATAAAAATTCTCACGACGTTTCGACTGCAAGTGTTAGCGGGCCTTACCTGGTAAATTGAAGTTTCGTTTTCAATGTGTAAATAATGGTGATGAGTAAAACACACATTTTTTCACTCTATTGTTTGGTGGAAAGGTGCGATTAGTCCGATATTGATTGTGCAATGACTTGTTGAATGAGGACTTGTACGTGTCAATTAGAGTGTCGATTGGAGTGGTAATTTTGGAGTGTTCACTTTTTTCAAAGTGTATGGAATAGCTGGGCCCTTGCCAATGTAATGTGGCATGTCCACCACTGGCAGTCATCATATTCATATAATCTCATGAGTTGTCCTACACGTGTTTGGGCAGTGAGACATTGACATAATTTCCTTTGTTAACTAACCTCTGCTTAACAGCCCAGGGACTGTTTGCTGTTATTGCTGTATAAACAAGAGAAACCGATGGCTAAATCGCTCGCAAGTAGCCCATTCCGTCAGACCTCGAAGGCTAAATAGGTTTGAGCCAGGATAGTGCTGGCATGGGTGACCACCACACACACAAATACAAGCATGAACAGCACAGAGCAGTGCAGCATTTAACCTCCCACCCTTACTAACCCGCACTGATCAGCGGTGAGGTATGGTCAAATTTACTTAAAGTGCCGCAAGGCTCTCATCCAGCAGTGGATCGACACATCGGCTACACGTGTGTGTATGTATAAACACAGAGAAGGGAAATGCATCTCTAAGCACAAGCACTAATTCGTAAGTTTAACACTTAGGCTGCCGCGGAAAATATCCATCGGAGGAGGTTTTTTGTTGGGTTCGATCACGTAAGCATGACATCACATACTAATTAAAAACTGAACATTTATATTTCCATGCTTACTACCATTCAACAAGCATATCACACTGTGGTGCCTATGTGCAGTTGCTGCACTCTTCAAAAGCTCTGTGCTTGCATGCAAACTTAGACTTGGAAATACATGGCCTTGTGAAACCCACGTTTTGCAATGGCTTGGCATCGACACATCCATCAGGACATAATAGTGCAGTTTATCTTCGGGGTGTCAGCTTTTAATGTAATTTGGCATGGTTAAATATCCACAGGTTGACAATTCAAAGTACAAATATAAACTTCCTATGGCTGGAGCATATGTGTGGGGTCAAGCACACACAATGTCACCCAATACAGGGACTCCTCTACTTACAAACATTCCACTTACGATCTTTCAGAAATACGAACAAACTTGTCCATTTGTCATGTAGATGCCAAATGAAGAACCAGTGGCATCTACATTTGCAGGACATTATACAACTTGTGAAGCCATTCCCCCCCCCCCCCCCCCATGTTTAGTGTACAACACGTTTAGAATCGACAGGAGTAAAGTTGGATTTGCGAACAAATCGACTTACGAGCAGACCTCTGGAACCTAACTCGGTCATAAGTAGAGGAATCCCTGTATAATGATTTCTAATAGTTTTTTTGGGGTCGGATCACGTAGACAAAATGTGTGTTATAAACCCTCCTCCGCCAGGGACGACCCATTAAGATAGTTGTCACATTGACACACGTGTCAATGTATTACTGCTTCAGCACACCAGTGTTGTTGGAGAGCACTGCAGAATATTTACAATGCCACCCAGCCACATAACCGGTTTCAAATGTGCCAAGTGGAACGCCAATTCTCTTTGCCACGTCTCGCTAAATTTTCACGCTTGTAATTCATTTGGATTCGGAGCAGCGTTACGTTATATCCGTTAAATCCGCTACGCTATGTTATCCAAGTCACTTAAATAGCACACAATGGAGCGCTTTGTAACACCGATATCCATCCTATAACAAGCGCGTTGGTTTAGATAAATGGTTCTCAAAGTGTGGTCCCCGGACCACCAGTTGTCCGCGATGGTCCTGCAGATACAAATGCAAGTTAATCCTGAAATAGTCGTGGGTTTGATCCTGACCCTGACGGCTGTATATTTGGAGTTTGCACGTACTCCCTGTGGTCGTATGGATTTTTCTCCGGGTCCTCCGGTTTTTCCCTCCACATTTAGAATCAACATGCGTGTATTTGGCTGCTATAAATTTCCACATAGTGATAAGCCACTTTGTAGAAGCTATCATTTGTGGCCAGGTCGCTTCTGAAAAAGAGCTACATAGCTCAGTGGGACTTACCTGATAAAATAAAAAAATCGTTGAGTTAATTTTTTTAACGCTAACATTTTGTTTCGGATATTAATTAACATTTGGCTTTTGACATTTCATAACAAAATTAAGTTAGCTAAAGTACCCTGATTAAACTACCCTAATCCTAAGATCTAAATGCCCCCCCCCCCCAAGAGAAAAAAAACAACCTTATAGCTGCATTAAAAATCAATTGTTTTTTTATGTTCTGATAATATTCTTTTTTCTGATAATATTCTTTTTTCAAGGCTCCCCCTTTCTTCCCCCCTTCCAACCCAGCTTATATATATGCTCCAAGCGCGTGTGCTGTTTCATTCAGACGCTGTCGCCTCGACAGACCTGGTTTTCACCTGAGGACGGCTACTTGCGTTGTGGCCGAAACGTCGTGAGAATAATTTTATTATGCTTTATTTTTATTATTTTATTACTTCCCTTCTACGTGACTTTACCGAAAGAACCAAGAAGATGACTCCCTGCAGTCACGAAAGCTTTAAATCGAAATTTAATTTTGTACTAGTACTAGTCTTGAGAGTGAAAAAACTGAATGTGTTATATCACCAGGGGTGTGTCGGGGAGCTGTATGATCCGCGGAAATGTTTGCATCGGCTAAGTAGTTGGCGGGCCTAAATTAAAGTTTGAGAAACACTGGTTCAGACGAAGAAAGAAAAAACTAGTTTTTGAAATTCTAATGGAAGCGTCGATACGTTTTGACATCATATTGGGCTACCTGATTCCAATTCCAAACAACCTGCCCATTGAGCCTTGGGCATCATCAGTGGACCCGAAAAATCCTAACGTTGATTTCTAATATTCCCCCCTGTGCACGTAATGGCCCTTGTTAATCCACTGCTAGATGAGGGCCACTTCACGCCGGTGGAGGTTGTCGGGGGTTACTTGACTATTTGACCATCCTGCACCGCTCTGGGTCATTGTGGGTGAGTGAAGACGGGAGGAAATGTTCATCTCGCACAGCCAACGATTACGCATGCCCAACGATTGCACAACTCCTGTTCTTAACAGATTTTGCTCGTGCGTTTCAACGACACAATGATAAGTAACCGGCCACTGTTGAGTCTTTAGGTGTGCCTGTGTACACAACTGCTACACTTTCTGATTAGTGGTTTCCTGGTTCATGAGTAGTTGAGCTACATAAATATTTTCACGGTCAACATGAGAGGGCGAAGTCAAGTCATTCCTGTTCATTCGCATTAATACTGGTAGGAACCTCCTGGTTACACCAGCCCACAGGGGATTATTGTGTCCGTCGTGCAGGGAGGGGCTGGGTGGGGAGGGAGGTGCTGTGTAGGGAGGGGAGGGTGGGGAGGAGCTGGGTGGGGAGGGTGGGGCTGGATGGGGAGGGGAGGGTGGGGAGGGGAGGGTGGGGAGGGGTTGGTCACCCCGTGGTGCCCTTATAAAACTCAACGTTTAACCTACTCACGCCGGCTTGTGCCCACCCTCACAGTCGGGCATATTTGCGGAATACACCACGCCGCCGTTGACCCTGGCCATTGACCGAGCAACCCAACGTTCCTACCAGCTCCCTCCGCAGGAATGTGTTTAATAACCATGTATGTCCCGTGCATTGTTAAACTTCTCTGCTCTCCGCCGGGGGGTGATGTTCTTGTGACACAGCCAGTTCTGGATAGATCAGTGGTTGCAAGAATTAAGTTGCAAATGAATTTGTATTGTTTCGTATTCTTTTTCCGTTTTTATCCCGAGAGCGCTGTTGGCGCCATGCAATGAGACGAAGCATCCATTCTCTTTGGTTTTTTTGGTAAAGTCACGTAGGTAAAAAATAAAGTTACTGTCACAGCAAAATTACAGTAATTACAGTAATTTTGCTGTGACGGTGCCACTTGAAGACGGAAGCTTGTGTTGCCTCCGAAACGTCGTGAATAAATTTAATTTTATTTTTACTAACGTTACTTTACCGAAAAAAAAACAAAGAGTATGGACCCTTGCAGTCACGAATCTTCAAATCTAGAAGCATCCATTCGCAACTCTTGCAGAGCAGTCCAACCCTTGATGTTAGATAACGGCCCGTGGAAGCGGATATCGCGGAACTATATCCGCAGTCGTCCCACAAGTGCTCTCCGTTCCACACACAGTAGAAAGCAGTACTTTCCACCTCCTCTGCGTATAAGAGCAATGTACATAGCATGACAGTCAAGCTGATTTCCATTTAAAGCTCTCGTGGCTGCAGGGATTCATCTTCTTGGTTCTTTCGGTAAAGTCACGTACAAGGGAAATAATAAAATAAAAATAAAACATTAAATATTAATTCTCACGACGTTTTGGCCACAACACAAGCAGCCGTCATCAGGTGAAGATGGTTGGGGGGGGACGCTGTCTTTCCGACAGCTCTGTTTCTTCACCTGAGGACGGCTGCTTGTGTTGTGGCCGAAACGTCGTGAGAATTTTTATTTTATGATGTTTTATTTTTATTATTTTATTATTTCCCTTCTACGTGACTTTACCGGAAGAACCAAGAAGATGAGTCAAGCTGATATTTAATCCTCAGCTGGAAATTAACTAAATGAAGCGCAGAACTAAATTGAACGTGATGGAGTTTTTTTGCGTGAAGTCATTGGTGAACGGGCCGAGCCCATAAACGCACTAAATGTGAAACAAATGGACTGCTTCATTGCACCCAGCAGACTAATATGTGGCGATGTGATCTGTAGCTATTGCAGTCTATAATTCTATAAACATTTCCTGGTAATGTGGGCATTTGTCTGACAGTGGTCACTACAGGATCACAGTAATGCTATACAATAAAGAGTAAAAGTGTTTTCATGCCCCAATGAGCATCAGGTGGTCATTATCTCGATTGGAAACTCTGCTAATCGTGGCGATTTACATTCCAGTGTCTGGCGCCATTGCTTATTTCCCATAATGCATCTACACTAACAGCCATGGTCGGTGATCGATTTAAAATCCATCTAGTCCCTGGCCATGGGAATGTGGCGTTCTACCGGTGACTCAGGACAGCCACGCACTTCCTCAAACTCGTTTGTCTCTGACTCATGGCCAAGAGTTCACCTTGTGGCCAATGCTTTGGTTGCCACCATTGCTTTCTTCACTTTGCCACACACCCCTCAGCTGTTCCACAGCCGACACCCGGACCTATACAATCTATCCTCACAGTATCGCACCGTCAAGTTAACACGCGGGGACCCGCTCTGTCCCGATCTCTTCCCTCATTCTTTCCTCCGTGCAGTCGGATATTGGCATTGTGCACGGCGGAGCCATGCTGGGCCCATACTGCGAGGGCGGGCGGCCAGTGAGCGACGCGTGGGTGGACGGCGGCTTGTCCCCCTGTCTGTACCGCACGCTGTGCGGGGCTGTGCCGCCGGGCGCCCTGCTGCTGCTGGGCGCTGTGCAGGGCGTCCGCTTTGCCCGCCGTGCCGTGCTCATGGAGCCCAAGTACGTGCCGCGGTCGCTGCTGCACCGCCTGCAAGTTCTGCTCACCGTCGCCATGGCGGCACTCGCGGTGAGTTTCCCTGCTGGGCTCTGGATCTGGGGTGCGTTCCTAATTTCCGGATCATTACAACAAAACAGTAATCGGAAATTTAGGCCTAAAGATGAAATTTTTTACTATTCCAATGTTTTTTGTGTTTTGGATTAAACTGAAAAATGTACTTCATGGGAAGTGATGTCCTATGTATTTTTCCAATTACTCCACAATAATGTGGAATTTATACCACTATCTCTGGGCTTCAGCAGAGTTGGGTGCTGCCCTATTGCTGTTGCTTTGTTAATAGGTAGACCATGCATGCGGGACAAAGTCAAGCAGTAGTTTGAGACTGGTTCTGCCAGGGGAAGGCTGAAGGGAGCCAGGTAGATGGTGCTGATGATAACCTCAGAGGCATCTTTCTGGCAGAAGGAAGGACGCAATTGCTCACTTGCGGCAGCGTCATTGGCATTGGGTGCGGTGAGCTCTTGACCTTGATTACTTAAAACAAATATCAGTTATCTATATATGCATGTGTAGAGTAGTAACTCAGCGGGAGACGACTTCACGGGTAGCACACTCTTTTATTTCACCAACTTATAGTTACACGGGTGACTAACACCCACTTAGTTACACGGGTGACTAACACCCACTCAGCTACTCGGGTGACTAACACCCACTCAGCTACTCGGGTGACTAACACCCACTCAGCTACACGGGTGACTAACACCCACTTAGCTACTCGGGTGACTAACTACCACTCAGCTACACTGACACGGGCTCTTACGCCCCGTAGCCTTCCGGAACACACCCGGCCGGGGTGTCCGTCTCGGCTCTGGGTACCACCGTCCCGACCCACACGGGCGTCGGACTACGGGTCCCACAGTCTCGGCTCCGAGCCACACAGGGCCCCGGTCCTGACAAGGACGGCGGGACTAGGGGTCTCGGGCCACTACCTCCTCCACTCCGTCTTCGGTCTTCAACTGGTTAACAACAACCTCGAGTGCTCTCGCGCGTCCCCCTTTATGCACCTCCTGCGGACGTCGCTGAGAGCACCCATCCTATTTGACCAATCACTGCGCGCTGGCTACGATCCTCTTTTCCCACCTTGTGTCAGCGCGCCTCACCACCGGCGCGCGCGTCCATACCACGCCCACATCGCGTGCCCAACCCCGCGCCCCGTGATCCATCACTGTCGGCGCACGTCAACACCACCACTACACATGCATGTGGTCCTAAATAGTTTTACATGAAGATGCCGAATTCGATTTTAAGTCGGAGTGGTTGTTTTATTAGTTGGATTGCAGTCATAATAGCATATTTGGATTTTTGAATGTAAACACAAAAAATAGGCCAAATATCTTGTCTGTTTATGTACGTTCATTATTAACCACAGACCCTCAGTGCATGGCTATTCACATTCGTGGGTGACAAAAATAGTCCAGGAACACATCCAATTGTTAAGGAATCGATGGGTGAAAGGTCTTAAATGTTTTCCCGTTTACATAATTGCCACTCAAGTTATCATGCGGCACACATTGCCCGCTCTTGCGTATCTTGCCACTGGGTCTTATGAGAATCAGAATATTTATTTATAGTGGAGGAATCCGATGAGCTATGACGTTCTTTTCCACAGATGTCCATTTTCGAATAGAAGCTGCTCTTTGCATGGGAGAGATGTGAAAACCTGCGTATTAGTACCTACTGGACATCTGTGAAAAAGAGCTTTTTAGCTCATCGGATTCCTCCAGTATAAATAAATATTCTAATTCTGAGTTCCTTCCAAAATTATCCTGCCGCTAATGCAAGAATCAAACACAGTCTGCTCTATAATTCTGCGTGTTTTCATGACGCGAATTGGATTTAACGCGTTGAATGTATTAGGGAACACATTTGTTATAACGCAAATGTGAAATAGATATAACGCGATGGAATGAACAGAACTACATCGCGCGAGTAGGAATAAGCGGTTGTACGGCTGCTTGGGCATAGCATCACACAGGGTGGGCTGCTTCTAGATGCTACCCACGTGCCTCAGTCTTTGTTCAGCCTGCAAACACATCTCACAGGTTATCGCAGACTGTGCTCTACCCTACATTATTTATTCTTTATTATAACGCGATTTTACATAACTCGGTGTTCTTTAGGAACGCAACCACCGCGTTATAGGGGAACAGACTGTAATTTGAATCGCATCTTCCCGTCTAAATCCCCGATCGTCGATGCCCACGCGTCGTACCCTCAGGTGGCGTACGGCGCGTACCACGGCGCGACGGCACACGGCGGCGTCGTGGGCTCCGTCGTGGCGTACGCCACTCTGTCGGCGGTGGGCTGGGCGGCCTCGCTGGCGCTGCTGGGCCTTGAGAGGCGACGCGCGCTGCCGGGGGACCGCGTGCGTGGCCATGGCGCCGCGCTGCTGGCGTTCTGGGGGCTGGCGTTCGCGGGAGACATCGTCGCGTTCGTCTCGTGGAGCAGCTCGCTGTGGTGGTGGCGGCTCGACAGCAGCGAGCAGAAGGTGCGTGAGCTGTCAGCAGTGTTATGTGTGTACAGGATGTTGAACTTCTTTCGCACCGTACGTAGCCAACCGTGCTAATTGGAAGTGCCGGGGAAGGACAACAAAACAAAAAAAGTTGTTCTAAAGAAATTCGTTTTCAATCTCGATTTAAAATTGCATAGCACAAGTGGCTTCCTATTTTCAGAATGAAGAGCATTCCCGACGGCCGCGTAAGCACACACCTGAAAGCACGCAATGTGGTGACTGCCCTTACCTCCGAGTTAGTGGAAACCTGGATTCCATTCCCGGGTTTGATTCGTGCTCCGGTCTCATATAACTCATTTGTCCGGCCAAGTGGAGCTGCGGTTAGAGTCTTCAACTTACCACCAGTTTTTGGCATGCCACCGGTGGTCGTCGTGCACAGGATGTGTCTCCATAATTGGCCAATAGCATGAAGTGCTCGAGTAGGAACAATATGCTGGAGTTTACCTACTGATTTAATTATATGAGTATCTAAAGACAGATTGCTACTGCTATCGTAATTTTTGCTTCTACGGCCATTCTCATCGTCGCCATCTCGTTTCTGCTCCTGCGGCCATGTCAGGAATGGTTGTTGATACCTCCTCCAATTTCTGTGACGCTCTCCACACTTGGCTGAAATCTCTCATCGGCAGTGTACAGCTGACTTCACTGTCTGATATATTCCTCACATCTCGGCTTTGGAATTTCCTTCCTCTGCCTTTCAACCTCAGTCCAGCAGTTAAATGATCATTGCTGCTGCTGATGATGATAATGCGATTCGAGTCAAGAACTTAGCTATAAAGGAAGCAGCTTCAGCCAATTGAAATGTGGCATTCCCAACACAGAATTTGGACCGTCATTGGAGATGAGCACCAATTTATAAGCAAAGAGACATCTTCACTTGCATTGCAGTTTAGCTGTAAACATAAAGTAAAATTGGCTGGCTTACAACTCTGGTATGCAGTCAGGCAAACTTTTGATGGCGGGCAGCGATTGTGTTGCTATAACCAAGCTTCCTTATGCCCGAGTCCGTAGATCCAGTTTGTCTACATACATCTGCAGTAACTTCTGGCTTGGGTTCCATATAAATAATTTTGTTGTTTGCCCTTGTTATGTTACACATTCCCACCCTGCGATGTCCTGTCACTGCCGTTATTCAAGACGGGTCTTGGGCTGTGGTCGTCCTTGCAACAGCTGCTAAGCTCAGTGGGCCCTACCGGCCGAAGTCTGTGGGACTCTATCTAATTATATGGGTCGTTGTGTCACTGTATCACTGTGTGTAACTCTACGGATCTGTACGTAACTCTATGGTTCTGTATGTAACTCTATGAATCTGTATGCAACTCTCTGTAACTGCAATGTCCTGTAATTGCTGCCAATTTCGCTCAATGGGCTTTTACCGGCTGAAATAAAGTCGCGAGTCTGTGTTTCTGCATGTGCCGGTATCGCGGCAATTGAGGGTGGTTCCGCAGTAGAGGATGACTAATCATTTCCCACGGCTCTATGGATGGAGCAATCCGTGCGCACGAGGAGCGGTTAAACAATGACACTGCAAAATGTTTCAAAAAGGAAGTATGCCACAAAGGATGCACATTGCAAGGCCGCGGTGCTATTTTTAGGCTCTGTTTACTCTGTGTGCAGGTCATGCAGGTCCAATGTGCAGTGATAGTTACGCAAGAATGTGCCATGACTGCGCACTTTTCTGCAGCGTGCCCAGTGGCGTTTTTTGCTGGGTCATGTTTGTCAGAGGTCAGCTGTGTTTTAAACATTACAGTTCATTGGAAATTTTATAATGTGGGTAGGTGAGAGTGAGAGCTGCCTAACCCGGGTAAAAGTGTCTTGTACAACCAATACAAGACGGCTGGGAGCCACCCACACCTTACCAACAAGCTCAATCCAGCAGTGGATTTATCCTACTTGGTGTGATTTCTGTCTTGTATTCATTACTCTTCTTTGGCAGTTGCTCTTTGCTTGTATTTAGTGTCTGTTCATCGGTAACACTTGAAACCAATTTCAGGAGATAGCGGTGGGCTAAGTTACATTGGTTATTTTGATTCATTCGATTATTTGACTGCTATAAATGTCACATGATAAGCCACTACATTGAGCTATCACTTATAGCCAGGTCGCTTCTGCAAAAAGAAGCCAATAGCTCAGTGGGCTTCACCTGGTAAGATAATAAGTAATATATATACAAAAAAACTTTTAAAAACACGCTTTTATGAAATGTACTAGTAATGGCAGAACTCCACGACTCCAGGAAGTGGCCCCGAAGCTTGACATAACGTAAGGGACCGTGGCCAATTACAGCCAACGTCAGTTGACCGTGGACAATTAGACCCAAGCCGAAACATAACATGTAAAAAAGAATGTTTAAAAAATATTTCATTTTTTATGATAGAATATAGTATTGGCATCAGTATGACATAAGCATACCAAGTTTGCGGTCGATACCACATTGGGAAGTGGGTTAAAATTGAGTTACAAGATTTGAGGATACAACGACAACAACAACAGCCAGAGTGAGTTAAAAGAAAGCGTGTAGTTATTTCTTTACCTTTCTGATACTTTGTGTGTACTGTTTGTTGTTGTAACTTTCTCACCCGCCCCTACTGGACATCTGTGAAAAAGAGCTTTTTAGCTCACATGGATTCCTCCAGTATAAATAAAGATTCTGACTCGTGGAATTATGTCAATATTTGAAGATCATTGTTGGGGGCCCTTCGTAAGTTTGGGGCCTTGGTACGATGCCCACAGCTGACTGCCATCCACAATTCAAGGTTGGCACGTCGTGTGTTTACTTCACGTAGCTTTTAGCGAATCAGCATTCTCAAGAGTGTCTGCACAGAGTGAATTATTCCAAGCCCCAATACAGCAACATGTCGTTAAAGCGTCTCCTTGCTCACCGCCCCCTCCCCCCCCCCCCCCCCGTCTTCATCGTCCCCCCAACGCGGGCTGCCCACATGGTTGGAGGCAGCAGGCCTCATCATCCCCCCCTCTTCCGTGTGGTCCCGTTGTGGTGGGACAGGCACTGGCGGTGTCAGTGGGGGGGGTGGGGGTGGGGTGGCACGTTGCCCCCCCAATGATCCGATCGAAATCCCTAATTTTGATCGGATCATTGGGGTTTCTTAGTAATAAATCGGCATTTTGCGACCCCCACTGCCACTGTGTACCATATTACGTGCCAGCGACTCTACGAGATGATAGGACAATAGTCTGAGTCCATAATTGGCAATAAGTAGCGGCAAAGCAGTTCTAAGTGACTCACAGAATTGTGCGCAGTTGCGTATACAGGACACGACTTCCCTGAAGGCATCCACTTTCAGCGAGTGCGATGCCGATCACACGAGGTTCGAATTCGACCCTCGATCGATGACTGCGCCATCGCCGCACACGCGTCGAATAAAAAGCAAGGGACAATTCCTTACTTGCTAACAACTCCTCTACCATTTTTCATTGTTGGAGGGGTTGCCCCCCCCCCCCCTACCTGAAAATCCTGGCTCCGCCATTGGGGACAGGAATTGTCGCGGTAATCCTCTCGTTGGAACCTTTCGGCGTGTTGTATTGTGCTCCCGTTTTGTTGTAATATAAAAATAGATATATTTGCTCAAATAAGTATAGGATGGTGGTCATGCCTGAATGAGTAGTATACATTCCACGTCCCTATGGCTGGGGACTTAGCCCCCCAGAGCACAACCACTGTTGACGTCTTCATTTTACTTAATTTATTTTACTTTACGGTACTTTATTTTGTAGACCATAGAGGCACGATGGGCTGAATACAGTTTTTTTTGGGTTGGTTTGTAAACCCACGGCATGTATTCGAATTGCAAATGTTGTGGATTTACTCTCCAATACGTCGGTGTGCTGTGCTTGCAACTAATTGGCACGTTTTGTTTCCATGACAAACCTTCATAATTGGCTGTGTCGGTTGGTGGTGGGTTTCTTGATACATTTATATTCTTACGATCTAACCAAAAAACACCTCTGGATAATATTGGTCACGATAGCCTATGATGTGCTAAAATGGTGGGCTTTGTTAACCTCCATTAAATTTTATTCTTTTAAATTGCCTTCACAACACGATTCAGTGTCACAAGTCTATACAATCATAACATATTTGTATACATCGTAAAATAGTAAATTACATTCATAAAGCACCTTTGTACCGGGTACTCAAAGCACTGCACGTGACAAAAATTGCATTGATCACATTGCATTGTGACTCTTCTAGTGGCTACATATGTTCACGTACGAGTTGAAACTACAGCAATCGATTTTCACTCTCATGATTAAAGGCTTGCATTGTGAGAGCAAGAATCGATTATAATCTGAACAATTATCGTTACGCCCCTACTTTACATTAAACAAGGCGGGTGTCCGCATGATTATTTATTCCTTGTCTCTCGGACAAGCGAGTCAGCTCAAGCTCGCTCAAGACGGTCATGTTACGTGAATATCCTGAGCAATCACCGCCCCCTCCGATTCTTCGCTCGACATTTAGAAACATGTGTTCAGAGTAATTTGGCTGCTATAAATGTCCACGTGCTTGAGCTGTCTACTTCGTTGAGCTATCATTTGTGGCCAGGTCACTTCTGAAAAAGAGCTACGTATCTCACTGGGCCTTACCTGGTAAGATAAAATAAAAATAGTTTAATTGGCAGACTAACGACCGTTTGTGGGCCAGGTACACCTGCCGTGAGGGAGCCTTTTCAAATCTCCATATATATAAATGGCAAAGTTGTGAATATGTGTGTCTGTTCAAAATGTTTAGCGTACTTCCCGACTGTACACCATGAAAACATTCTAAAAATACACTTTCGTTTTTTTGTTGGGGGGGGGGGGGGAGCTCAACAGGTCTGTCGAGGAGACAGAGTCTGACAGACCAGTTCTCCACCTGAGGACGGCTGCTTGCGTTGTGTCCGAAACGTCGTGATAATTATTTTATTATGTTTTATTATTATTATTTTATTATTTACATTCTACGTGACTTTACCGAAAGAACCAAGAAGATGAATCCCTGCAGTCACGAAAGAAGCTTTAAATCGAAATTTGTTTCGTGATAGTTGCGTTCCGTTGCTTCGGTACGTGTGCTGGATGACTGACGGCATGCGGTCGGCCCGTGTCATGCAGGTTGACTTTGGGCTGTGGGTGTCGCGCTTCGTGTGCGGCCTGGCGCTCTTCGTCCTGGGACTGCGGGCGCCGGGGTTGCCCCCCCGACCCTACTCCGTGCTCATCAATGAGGGCGAGCGGGACGTGGAACAGGCGAGGGTGAGGACCTCCACTCGTCGCTTCTTTCCTTCACTCGTCGCTCCTCTTCACCCGTCGCGACTCTTCACTCCTTCTCACCTGAATCTTGGCGACGCCGATTGCGAACGCTCCACGTGTTCATCAGGGATACTGCCACCGGCCATGCGGCTCTGTAGTGGAGCGAGCTGGCCGCGATCGGAAGGTCGCGAGTTAAAAATCTTGGTTGGCGGTTGACCGAGCCCATGATTCTTCACTGTGAGGTCGATAAAATAGGTTCCACTTTTGGGGGGAATAAGCAGAGGCAGTCCAGTGGATAGACTTTCTTCCACCGTAGGAATGTGGAATTTCTACCACTGGCTCAGGACTTTAAACTGGAGATGAGCACCGCCTCAATGCTCATTTGAAGCAGGAAATTACTTTGACTAAAAGTGACCCTGAACAGAAGAGAACTGTGGTGAATGTGTTATTGGCAAATGTGACGAGTTTTTGTTAATTGTGCTTGTGCACCGCTGCCAATGCAGCGTCATGCATCTTTGTTTGGTATTGCAGATAGGTTTGCTCGATTGTTGAGTTTTCTTAAACAAATTTACGGAATCGATTATTAATTACAAAACTCACGGACTTGGTAAGATTGAAGTTCAATTTGAGTTATGATCAAGCCAATGTAAATGCATCAACGTTCAAACGGCATGGCTGCATTCCATTGTGATTCGTTACGTGACAACCCATTACATATGTAGTGAGTCCAACTGAGTTGCAGACGTTGTCTTGGGAGCAACACTATTTATTCCACCAACTCAACATAACAACCTACACTTGGGTGTTGAATGCCCATCTCGCCACGCTACGGCAGAACTAGACACGGTTCGCTATCCCGGCCCGGAACACAAGCTGGGTCCCGGACCGCGTGGCTAGAGGCTTCTTCAACCCGACGAGGATCATCATCACCAGCAACACGAAGAACCCCGAGCCCCTCACAGGGCCCCCGTTATATCGGCCTGGGCTGGGGCTAGCTCCGCTCCTCGCCCCGCCCACCTTCTAGATCTCTCGAGCTCTTTCCCGAAGGCTCCCGAGAGCTCCTCTATACCACGTGACCGCCCAGCGGCCCCCGTCCACCGGTGGCCCCCCTCCAATATCATCCGGTCACGTGTCGGCTGGTCAACCAGCGTATCATGTCCCAACGTAACCCTGGCTGGCTGACGCTCCCTCTCGCTCCCTCACCGGGAGCCCGCACCGCACGCTGCTCGCGTTGCCTCCATGCTGACCAGCGCTCACCCAAGCCCCGCTAGGGCTGGTACTACGCCCAGTACGTGGGCTACACGTAATGCGAACAGTCACTACACATAGAAAAAACATTTTAAAAAGGTCTTGCTTCAATAAACAGTGGGAGGGTGACTTGGCCCATCATTTGTATGAAGATGATAAAATGACCACCACTTAATTGGCACGAGACAGTGGTCTCATAATTGAAATGCGACCTTCCACCACGGAATTGGGGAATGTCTAAGAGTAATCAGGTAATCGTACTACGTTTCTCTCCAAAGTAGCCCTCATGACCCGAGTTGACTGTAGCAATCGTAATTTGGTCATCGTTTTTAATTGTCATAATTCACTTGGTCTAGTTGACCAATTCGAAAAAAAATTCTGTCCACCCATAATGACCAAATATTGGTGTGAGGGTCGTGCAATTTTCCCTCTACAAATATTATTAATTACATCTCTTTCTAGATAGTCAATTACGCTTGTTTGGTCTTTGTACATGCACTGCAGTCTTTCATGACATTACAAATGATCTTAATTGTGGTTATCCAGAACAGACCGTACAAGATATAACTAAGCAATGCCCGATCCACAAATATGAAGGAGACATCAGAGTGATACACTCACGCTGCTCCTGACGCGGTTATCTGGCTTGACCACCTGAATGTGAAATTGTAGTTGTTGCTCTGCATCACCGGCGCAGCCATATGATAGAAGAATATCAGAGTCAGTGTGCTTCTGTCTTCGTCACGCTTGACGATTATCACCCATTCTTAGTCCATAGCAGACTCAAACAAATGAAATAGAGAAACGCCCCGTTGACGATCATCGTCAACGTGGTGTTTAGTTTTTTTGTGTTTAGTGTGTTGTCCTTCCCCCCCCCACCGCACCTCCGATTAGCATCGTTGGCTACGTACAGCGCGCGAAAGAAGTTCAACGCACGTACAACTCGTAACAGATTCCCGTCAGCGATTTCGTTCCAACGAAAAATCAACGGGAACGCTTTTCCATTTGCAGCCCCTGCTGGGGGGCGCTGGCGCGGCGCGAGCGGCGCCGAACGCCTCCGCGTGGGTGGACTTCCGCAAGAAGGTGCGCCTGCTGGTGCCGTACATGTGGCCGCGGGGCAGCGTGCGTCTGCAGCTCGCTGTGCTGCTCTGCCTGGTCATGCTGGCGGGCGAGCGCGTCGTCAATGTGTTCGTGCCGCTCTACTACAAGAACATCGGTGCGTGGCCTGCCCCCCAAAAATAATAAGAACAATACAAAAAAACGATAGCAGTACAAAATAGAGAAAAGGTTAGCAAGTCACGAGGATTAAACAATGGTAAATAACTAATTTCCTCTGCGAGCAGTGGGGTGATGGGTGCTGATGTGTAATCCCAGTTGTATTGGTTCGTGGAACCTCGGTAAACCAAGAATCGGTTTTGCGAATTTAATGTTCACCTCAACATCGTGATTTGCAATGTAAAGTAAGTGGGCGAGGGTAAGGACGTATCGGTCGAAGGGGATGGTGGCCAGTGGTCAGGATTCAAGACGACACAGACACCCAAAGCAGGGAATGCTTTGTCTAGTTATTTTGTAAGTGTTGTGTTTTGACCAACAACAAAAAAAAAACTGATGGAAACTAATATTCACCAACACTAGAATAAGTCCCCTATGTTATTCACATAATTTATTAATTCCCTTCACACAGTCGGCCAACAAATATTAACTTGAAATCAAGCCTCCACAAGTATTTATAGCGCTCTGTTGCGAATGCACCCATGCATGTGTCAAAAATAGGTCACTTCACTGGTGGTTGTAAGGCAGTATGCAATGATCTCAAAGGCATTGCATCTACTTCGGAATGCTTTTTGTACATTTTTGTCTTTCCCTCCCAATGTCGTGAGACCAGTGATCCGTTTGCAACTCTCACAGAGCAGTTCGTCACCTCGTGTTGTCGACCAAACAGCAAAAAATAGATACCAGAGAACTACTGAAATCTCAGCTGACCTCTTATCCACGCTTATCGGGCAGCATTTTCCCACCCACCCTGCTCCATAAGCAGTATTTGGAATGTTTGTCACAAACTGATGTTTTAAATTTGCCAGATTTACAATTCATACGAATTGAGTACACGGCAAAATGTTACGAACATTTTTTGTTTGTGTGTGTGCAGTCATTGGCAACCAAGCTGCACTTGAGCCATATTTAACCAATGGGTGCCTGCCCAGATTCAAACCCAGCACCTCAGCGGTGCCAGCTCGATGTGTGCCGACATTTGAGCCAACAGGCCACCCTTTAAAAACAACGGTACATTGGACTTTGCTTCCTACCCCGTAAGCGTGTGATCTGTCCCATTTTCACTTATTGTCCGTTATTTACCCACAAAGCCACGCTAAGCCCAATGACTCTTCCTTAGGGGCACCACTTTGGCGAGATGTTGACTACTTCGCCTGATACACAGGAGGTCATTGGTTCGATCCTGGCCATGACACCTGTATATTTGGAGTTTGCATGTTCTCTCTCTCTCTCCATGGTCACGTGGATTTTTCTCTGGGTCGTTCGGTTTTTCATTCCACATTTAGAAACATGCGTTTAGAGTATTTGGCTGATGTAAATTTCCACGTGATAAGCTACTTAGTTGAGCTTTCATTTGTGGCCAGGCCGCATCTAAAAAAGAGCTATATAGCTCAGTGGGCCTTACCTGGTAAAATAAAAATTGTTTCTAGAAGGGTACAATACCAATTGCAATGTAATGTTTGTGGCCGTGGAAGTAAACTGAAGAACCCAGAGGAAACCCAATGCAGAACAGAGGGTGAACCGTATACGCTCCACACAGAAAGGTGTTCGAGGCAGAAATCGAACCCAGGCCATTTTTTGCTGCAATGCACAATTATTACCACTGCTCCACCCCCCTGCCCACCGCAAAGACCCATTGTAGAAGGTTAAATTCACGTTTTCACGGCGACCATAATAAACGCTGCCCCTTGTCTCTTCTTCCCGTGGTGGGTTACCCAGTCAATGACCTCACGCAGGAGGCTCCCTGGAGTACCGTGGCCTGGACTGTGGTCACCTATGTGGGGCTCAAGTTTCTGCAGGGCGGAGGGGCAGGTACGTGTGCGCACTTGAGCGTGGCCTCGCTGTCGAGCTCCTTTCAGCGGTCGCTTTTTTGTGGGTTTTTAAGCGAGTTGCCGGTTCGTTTGCGAAGTCGTCTTTTGGCTAAACGTTTTCAACGATGGTAATAAAAAAAAAAAAGCAGAATAATAAGTGGAACGGCCTCACCGTGTTTGTCTCGCCCTTTTGCCTCCTTAACACCGGGCAACTCGGCATTGTTTATTAAACCGGCCTCTCCTTGCTGATGAGTCCAGTGTGCCATTGGTCAGTGGTCTTCAGTTACATTTTTATTTGGCAATGAGGCAGATGCCTACTGCAGTGGTTGACTTTGGAATAGATTGACCCTAGCCATGAGAATGATGAATTTCCACCACTGTTGCAGGACCACCTACAGCGATGAGCATGGCCACATTTCACATCTCAGCAAGGAGACGCTTCGAGAGAGGCATTCTACATGCGACGACGAACATCCAAATACGTTGATGACCGTGCTCCTGTTAAAAGTCGCATGTGAATATTTTGAATCTGGCAGGTGGAAAGTATCAATGGGATCCCATGGCGGCTGTAGCTGCCCGATGCCTTTTCAGGCTCATCTTCTTGGTACTTTCGGTAAAGTCACGTAGAAGGGAAATAATAAAATAATAAAAATAAAACATAATAAAATAATTCTCACAACGTTTCTTTCACAACGCAAGCAGCCGTCCTCAGGTGAAGAACAGGTCTGTCGGAAAGACAGCGTCTTTTCAGGTGAAGAACAGGTCTGTCGGAAAGACAGCGTCCTCAGGTGAAGAACAGGTCTGTCGGAAAGACAGCGTCCTCAGGTGAAGAACCGGTCTGTCGGAAAGACAGCGTCCTCAGGTGAAGAACAGGTCTGTCGGAAAGACAGCGTCCTCAGGTGAAGAACAGGTCTGTCGGAATGACAGCGTCCTCAAGTGAAGAACAGGTCTGTCGGAAAGACAGCGTCCTCAGGTGAAGAACCGGTCTGTCGGAAAGACAGCGTCCTCAGGTGAAGAACAGGTCTGTCGGAAAGACAGCGTCCTCAGGTGAAGAACAGGTCTGTCGGAAAGACAGCGTCCTCAGGTGAAGAACAGGTCTGTCGGAAAGACAGCGTCCTCAGGTGAAGAACAGGTCTGTCGGAAAGACAGCGTCCTCAGGTGAAGAACAGGTCTGTCGGAAAGACAGCGTCCTCAGGTGAAGAACAGGTCTGTCGGAAAGACAGCGTCCTCAGGTGAAGAACAGGTCTGTCGGAAAGACAGCGTCCTCAGGTGAAGAACAGGTCTGTCGGAAAGACAGCGTCCTCAGGTGAAGAACAGGTCTGTCGGAAAGACAGCGTCCTCAGGTGAAGAACAGGTCTGTCGGAAAGACAGCGTCCTCAGGTGAAGAACAGGTCTGTCGGAAAGACAGCGTCCTCAGGTGAAGAACAGGTCTGTCGGAAAGACAGCGTCCTCAGGTGAAGAACAGGTCTGTCGGAAAGACAGCGTCCTCAGGTGAAGAACAGGTCTGTCGGAAAGACAGCGTCCTCAGGTGAAGAACAGGTCTGTCGGAAAGACAGCGTCCTCAGGTGAAGAACAGGTCTGTCGGAAAGACAGCGTCCTCAGGTGAAGAACAGGTCTGTCGGAAAGACAGCGTCCTCAGGTGAAGAACAGGTCTGTCGGAAAGACAGCGTCCTCAGGTGAAGAACAGGTCTGTCGGAAAGACAGCGTCCTCAGGTGAAGAACAGGTCTGTCGGAAAGACAGCGTCCTCAGGTGAAGAACAGGTCTGTCGGAAAGACAGCGTCCTCAGGTGAAGAACAGGTCTGTCGGAAAGACAGCGTCCTCAGGTGAAGAACAGGTCTGTCGGAAAGACAGCGTCCTCAGGTGAAGAACAGGTCTGTCGGAAAGACAGCGTCCTCAGGTGAAGAACAGGTCTGTCGGAAAGACAGCGTCCTCAGGTGAAGAACAGGTCTGTCGGAAGACAGCGTCCTCAGGTGAAGAACAGGTCTGTTGGAAAGACAGCGTCCTCAGGTGAAGAACAGGTCTGTCGGAAAGACAGCGTCCTCAGGTGAAGAACAGGTCTGTCGGAAAGACAGCGTCCTCAGGTGAAGAACAGGTCTGTCGGAAAGACAGCGTCCTCAGGTGAAGAACAGGTCTGTCGGAAAGACAGCGTCCTCAGGTGAAGAACAGGTCTGTCGGAAAGACAGCGTCCTCAGGTGAAGAACAGGTCTGTCGGAAAGACAGCGTCCTCAGGTGAAGAACCGGTCTGTCGGAAAGACAGCGTCCTCAGGTGAAGAACAGGTCTGTCGGAAAGACAGCGTCCTAGGGTGAAGAACAGGTCTGTCGGAAAGACAGCGTCCTAGGGTGAAGAACAGGTCTGTCGGAAAGACAGCGTCCTAGGGTGAAGAACAGGTCTGTCGGAAAGACAGCGTCTTTTCAGGTTGCGTGTCATCCGGCACAGTATCTGACTTTGCGCCGCAATGTGCTGGAAGATTCATCGGGAACCGAATCTATTCACTGAAATCCATTCAGTCGAACACGATGTGTGTGTGTGTGTGGTGTCGCAACCCACAATTCCTCTCTCTACGCATTCCCTTGCTGAAATGTGCAGTGTGTCGGTGCGTCTGGCCTTGAAGCTCATGGTGGAAATTCCACATTCTAATGGCCTATCCACCGATCAACCACTGCAGTCGGCATCGTGCCTCACCATCGAAATCACTGCAAACGTATCTGAGTAGCTATCTGACCCTATCTTACAAAGATATGTAGTGTCTTAATAATAGGGTTTTCCCCTTTTTTCTGGCAAAAAATCTGAAACCTCTTTACAAGGATGCATGTCAACATTAACCGAAATACTTGCAGTAAAAATGCAAAAAAAACACACTATAATAATATTTTGGCATTGTCCTTGAAACGCATTGGTCCACACCAGGGATGGCTTTCTTTTGAGCCTCGACCCAATTGGTGCTCAACCAGAGGACGCCTAAAGGCGTACAGCTCAAAGACAATGTACTATCAAAGTAATGGTTAATGCAGACATGAATCCTTGTAAAAAGGTTTCAGTTTTGTTGCCAGAAAAAAGAGGGAAAAACCCTATTATTATATTTTGGTACTGGCAAAGGAGGTCTAATGATGTAGTATCTCATTCGAAGTCTCTTTACAGAAATTAGAAAATTGGACGTAGGATTAACGGTGTTTGAGATAGAGTGGGGTTCTTACAAGTGTAGTTATGGTAACAGGAGAACGGGCAGGAGAGGTTAAGGAGGGGTTGGGGTAGGGGGAGTGATAGAGATAGTGATAGGGGTAGAGGTAGTGATAAATTAAGCACGGGCACCTAAGTACAACTACTTTGTTTAATCAAACTCTATGTATTTATTAACATTATACATTTTTTCATCGATTGAGAACCAAAGGGGTGCCAGGCTGCAGTAAAGGATAAGAACCACTGTTATAGATGCAGGGGTAGTGACAGGGGTAGTGATAGGGGTAGTGATAGGGGGTAGTGATAGGAGTCCAGGTAGGCCTGGTCGTAGCTGGGGGGGGGGGGGGGGGGGGGCGAGGGCAGGGAGTAGCGGCAGTGGTTTCACGGCTTTCCTCCCCGGTCTTGTCTCCGTGCCCCCCCCCACCGCGTGTCGTGGAGCAGGCTCGTCCGGCTTCATCAGCAACATGCGCTCCTTCGTGTGGATCCGCGTGCAGCAGTTCACGAACCGCGAGGTGCAGGTGCAGCTCTTTGAGCACCTGCACTCGCTGTCGCTGCGCTGGCACCTGGGCCGCAAGACGGGCGAGGTGCTGCGCAGCGTCGACCGCGGCACCAGCAGCATCAACAGCCTGCTCAGGTGCGTGCGTGTGTGCGTGCGTGTGTGCGTGCGTGTGTGCGTGCGTGTGTGCGTGTGTGCGTGCGTGTTCCTCAAGTGCGTAGTGGACTCGGTCTTCGATGAGTACCTTGTGCGGCGTGTGAATGTCATCAGCACCGGGGAGAGGAAGGCGGCCGGGCATGGTGGTGCTGGCCACCCACCCCTTCGTGTGCCATGCTGGCCTTAATAGGTGCTCATTAACAGGACTTGCTTCTCCAGCGTATGTGCGTGTGTCTCAGGTGTGTGTGTGTGTGTGTCTCAGGTGTGTGTGTGTGTGTCTCAGGTGTGTGTCGAGTGCGTGTGTGTGCGCTTCTCTGGTATAGGTGTGTCTCAGGTCTGTGTGTGTGTGTCTCAGGTTTTCAGTTTCATTTATTTGGTGTCGCCCTGTGAGCCATTCCGCTCTTGAATCGGGTGCAACAAAAACATGAACAAGAAAACATCTTAAAGTGACAATGCGCAAACAGAAAAATCCAGGAAAAAACTGCAGTGTCTTCCAGAAAAAAAGCACCGTACACCAACGCTGTGCAAAAATCCCAGTGGGATGCAAGTCAAACAACAACAACTTAGATTAAAAAAAACATCATTCTAACTCCGTACTACAACAAACAAACATGGCCAAACCAAAAAACTTTTCGAAATCACCAAAATAAAGCCATAAAAGCAATGTAACAGTGATCATAGGAACTGTGACCGAAATTTCACAATAAACGACATAAACAACATGTACCAACAAACCCTGTAGCCATAGCTGGCTGCATGAGTCACTCCACAACAGCAGGAGCATCAGTAGGAGTATCCAAATTTTTCAAATGCACCTTTAAAGATCAGCACACTAAATCAAAACACAAGATCATACGTTGCAAGCGGTCATCCGGAACGAAAACATTTGATTTCAGGCCACTGAATAGCAGTGGCAGCTAGGGGTGTACAACTCCTCTAGAGCAGTTTTGAGTGAAGATCTCATAGGTAGTGATTCAAGTTGCAGTTTATTGGCAATTGCATTCCAGACCCTGGGGGCCTCAATAGCAAAGGCCCTTCCTCAAGTATTTGTACGGCAATAGGGAATGTAAAGCTGGTAAATGAGCGAAGACCTTAGGTAACATTTGTTCTTCGAAACAGAGAGGAGATCCAGCAGGTAGTCCGCGGATTTTTTTGTAAGTACATCGTGAATAAATAAGATCTGGTGCACAAGCCGTCGAACATTATAGTATAGGTGTGTCAAGTGCGTGTGTGCACGCTTTTCCGGTCTGTGTGTGTCTCAAGTGTGGGTGTGTGTGCGTGTGCTTCTCCAGTGTGTGCGTCAGAGATGAGCGAGCATGCCAGCCTATGGATGTAACGGTTCTCCCGCTTAGCGATTTGACAAATTGGATTCAATAATTTATTTTTGTATATTTTTTCATCTTGCTTATACTGTGTCTCGTTTGTTCCATGTCCATTCTACACCATTATCGAAATGCAGCATGCGCATAGCATTTGCTTACAAGTTGCATACAATGTAACTAATCAGATTTTACATGCGCAATTCCATGTGTGTTGTGAGCCTCATTCTATAATGAAGTCTCCCGGAATAAACTCTCGTAACGATTGCGTTATCTCTTAATGCGTAATTCGTTGTGGTCCTGCAGCTACATTGTGTTCAGCATTTTGCCCACGATCGTTGACATCGTGATCGCCATCATCTACTTCGTCACGTTCTTCAACGCCTGGTTCGGCCTCATTGTCTTCGTCTGCATGTGCGTCTATCTCGGTGAGTGGAGGCTCACCCACTCTGGGTGGCTACCAGCACAGGTTCAAGACCTGACCACTACCACCATTAACACAGACACAAGGCCTCACCACCACCATCATTGACACAGACCTCACCACTACCATCATTAACACAGACACAAGGCCTCACCACTACCATCATTAACACAGACACAAGGCCTCACCACCACCATCATTGACACAGACCTCACCACTACCATCATTAACACATACCCCAGGCCTCACCACTACCATCATTAACACAGACACAAGGCCTCACCACTACCATCATTAACACAGACACAAGGCCTCACCACCACCATCATTGACACAGACCTCACCACTACCATCATTAACACAGACACAAGGCCTCACCACTACCACCATTAACACAGACACAAGGCCTCACCACCACCATCATTGACACAGACCTCACCACTACCATCATTAACACATACCCCAGGCCTCACCACTACCATCATTAACACAGACACAAGGCCTCACCACCACCATCATTGACACAGACCTCACCACTACCATCATTAACACATACCCCAGGCCTCACCACTACCATCATTAACACAGACACAAGGCCTCACCACCACCATCATTGACACAGACCTCACCACTACCATCATTAACACATACCCCAGGCCTCACCACTACCATCATTAACACAGACACAAGGCCTCACCACTACCATCATTAACACAGACACAAGGCCTCACCACCACCATCATTGACACAGACCTCACCACTACCATCATTAACACAGACACAAGGCCTCACCACTACCACCATTAACACAGACACAAGGCCTCACCACCACCATCATTGACACAGACCTCAACACTACCATCATTAACACATACCCCAGGCCTCACCACTACCATCATTAACACAGACACAAGGCCTCACCACCACCATCATTGACACAGACCTCACCACTACCATCATTAACACATACCCCAGGCCTCACCACTACCATCATTAACACAGACACAAGACCTCACCACTACCATCATTAACACAGACACAAGGCCTCACCACTACCATCATTAACACAGACACAAGGCCTCACCACCACCATCATTGACACAGACCTCACCACTACCATCATTAACACATACCCCAGGCCTCACCACTACCATCATTAACACAGACACAAGGCCTCACCACCACCATCATTGACACAGACCTCACCACTACCATCATTAACACATACACAAGGCCTCACCACTACCATCATTAACACAGACACAAGGCCTCACCACTACCATCATTAACACATACCCCAGGCCTCACCACCACCATCATTGACACAGACCTCACCACTACCATCATTAACACATACCCCAGGCCTCACCACTACCATCATTAACACAGACACAAGGCCTCACCACCACCATCATTGACACAGACCTCACCACTACCATCATTAACACATACCCCAGGCCTCACCACTACCATCATTAACACAGACACAAGGCCTCACCACTACCATCATTAACACAGACACAAGGCCTCACCACCACCATCATTGACACAGACCTCACCACTACCATCATTAACACATACCCCAGGCCTCACCACTACCATCATTAACACAGACACAAGGCCTCACCACTACCATCATTAACACAGACACAAGGCCTCACCACCACCATCATTGACACAGACCTCACCACTACCATCATTAACACATACACAAGGCCTCGCCACTACCATCATTGACACAGACCTCACCACTACCATCATTAACACAGACACAAGGCCTCACCACCACCATCATTGACACAGACCTCACCACTACCATCATTAACACAGACACAAGGCCTCACCACTACCATCATTAACACAGACACAAGGCCTCACCACTACCATCATTAACACAGACACAAGGCCTCACCACTACCATCATTAACACAGACACAAGGCCTCACCACTACCATCATTAACACAGACACAAGGCCTCACCACTACCATCATTAACACAGACACAGACCTCACCACTACCATCATTAACACATACCCCAGGCCTCACCACTACCATCATTAACACAGACACAAGGCCTCACCACTACCATCATTAACACAGACACAAGGCCTCACCACTACCATCATTAACACATACCCCAGGCCTCACCACTACCATCATTAACACAGACACAAGGCCTCACCACTACCATCATTAACACATACCCCAGGCCTCACCACTACCATCATTAACACAGACACAGACCTCACCACTACCATCATTAACACATACCCCAGGCCTCACCACTACCATCATTAACACAGACACAAGGCCTCACCACTACCATCATTAACACAGACACAAGGCCTCACCACCACCATCATTGACACAGACCTCACCACTACCATCATTAACACAGACACAAGGCCTCACCACTACCATCATTAACACAGACACAAGGCCTCACCACCACCATCATTGACACAGACCTCACCACTACCATCATTAACACAGACACAAGGCCTCACCACTACCATCATTAACACATACCCCAGGCCTCACCACTACCATCATTAACACATACCCCAGGCCTCACCACTACCATCATTAACACATACCCCAGGCCTCACCACTACCATCATTAACACAGACACAAGGCCTCACCACCACCATCATTGACACAGACCTCACCACTACCATCATTAACACATACCCCAGGCCTCACCACCACCATCATTGACACAGACACAAGGCCTCACCACTACCATCATTAACACAGACACAAGGCCTCACCACTACCATCATTAACACAGACACAAGGCCTCACCACTACCATCATTAACACAGACACAAGGCCTCACCACCACCATCATTGACACAGACCTCACCACTACCATCATTAACACAGACACAAGGCCTCACCACTACCATCATTAACACATACCCCAGGCCTCACCACTACCATCATTAACACATACCCCAGGCCTCACCACTACCATCATTAACACATACCCCAGGCCTCACCACTACCATCATTAACACAGACACAAGGCCTCACCACCACCATCATTGACACAGACCTCACCACTACCATCATTTACACATACCCCAGGCCTGACCACCACCACAATTAACACAGACACAAGGCCTCACCACCACCATCATTGACACAGACCTCACCACTACCATCATTAACACATACCCCAGGCCTCACCACCACCATCATTGACACAGACACAAGGCCTCACCACTACCATCATTAACACAGACACAAGGCCTCACCACTACCATCATTAACACAGACACAAGGCCTCACCACTACCATCATTAACACAGACACAAGGCCTCACCACCACCATCATTGACACAGACCTCACCACTACCATCATTAACACAGACACAAGGCCTCACCACTACCATCATTAACACAGACACAAGGCCTCACCACTACCATCATTAACACAGACACAAGGCCTCACCACTACCATCATTAACACAGACACAAGGCCTCACCACTACCATCATTAACACATACCCCAGGCCTCACCACTACCATCATTGACACAGACACAAGGCCTCACCACTACCATCATTAACACAGACACAGACCTCACCACTACCATCATTAACACATACCCCAGGCCTCACCACTACCATCATTAACACATACCCCAGGCCTCACCAGTACCATCATTAACACAGACACAGACCTCACCACTACCATCATTAACACATACCCCAGGCCTCACCACTACCATCATTAACACAGACACAGACCTCACCACTACCATCATTAACACATACCCCAGGCCTCACCACTACCATCATTAACACAGACACAAGGCCTCACCACTACCATCATTAACACATACCCCAGGCCTGACCACTACCATCATTAACACAGACACAGACCTCACCACTACCATCATTAACACATACCCCAGGCCTCACCACTACCATCATTAACACAGACACAAGGCCTCACCACTACCATCATTAACACAGACACAAGGCCTCACCACCACCACAATTGACACAGACCTCACCACTACCATCATTAACACATACCCCAGGCCTCACCACTACCATCATTAACACAGACACAAGGCCTCACCACTACCATCATTAACACATACCCCAGGCCTGACCACTACCATCATTAACACAGACACAGACCTCACCACTACCATCATTAACACATACCCCAGGCCTCACCACTACCATCATTAACACAGACACAAGGCCTCACCACTACCATCATTAACACAGACACAAGGCCTCACCACTACCATCATTAACACAGACACAAGGCCTCACCACTACCATCATTAACACAGACACAAGACCTCACCACTACCATCATTAACACATACCCCAGGCCTCACCACTACCATCATTAACACATACCCCAGGCCTCACCACTACCATCATTAACACAGACACAAGGCCTCACCACCACCATCATTAACACAGACACAAGGCCTCACCACCACCATCATTAACACAGACACAAGGCCTCACCACCACCATCATTGACACAGACCTCACCACTACCATCATTAACACATACCCCAGGCCTCACCACTACCGTCATTAACACAGACACAAGGCCTCACCACCACCATCATTGACACAGACCTCACCACTACCATCATTAACACAGACACAAGGCCTCACACTACCATCATTAACACAGACACAAGGCCTCACCACTACCATCATTAACACAGACACAAGGCCTCACCACTACCATCATTAACACATACCCCAGGCCTCACCACTACCATCATTAACACATACCCCAGGCCTCACCACTACCATCATTAACACAGACACAAGGCCTCACCACTACCATCATTAACACATACCCCAGGCCTCACCACTACCATCATTAACACAGACACAGACCTCACCACTACCATCATTAACACATACCCCAGGCCTCACCACTACCATCATTAACACAGACACAAGGCCTCACCACTACCATCATTAACACAGACACAAGGCCTCACCACTACCAT